CCATTCCTCCTGACAGAGCTGATGTAACTGAGTCAGGTTTGTAGGCCTCCTTGCTCGCACACGCTTTTTCAGTTCTGCCCACACATTTTCTATAGGATTGAGGTCAGGGCTTTGTGATGGCCACTCCAATACCTTGACTTTGTTGTCCTTAAGCCATTTTGCCACAACTTTGGAAGTATGCTTGGGGTCATTGTCCATTTGGAAGACCCATTTGCGACCAAGCTTTAACTTCCTGACTGATGTCTTGAGATGTTGCTTCAATATATCCACATCATTTCCCTACCTCATGATGCCATCTATTTTGTGAAGTGCACCAGTCCCTCCTGCAGCAAAGCACCCCCACAGCATGATGCTGCCACCCCCGTGCTTCACGGTTGGGATGGTGTTCTTTGACTTGCAAGAACCCCCATTTTCCTCCAAACATAACGATGGTCATTATGGCCAAAGAGTTCTATTTTTGTTACATCAGACCAGTGGACATTTCTCCAAAAAGTACTATATCTGTCCCCATGTGCAGTTTTTATGGCGGTTTTGGAGCAGTGGCTTCTTCCTTGCTGATCGGCCTTTCAGGTTATGTCGATATAGGACTAATTTTACTGTGGATATAGATACTTTTGTACCTGTTTCCTCCAGCATCTTCACAAGGTCCTTTGCTGTTGTTCTGGGATTGATTTGCACTTTTCACACCAAAGTACGTTCATCTCTAGGAGACAGAACGCGTCTCCTTACTGAGTGGTATGACGGCTGCGTGGTCCCATGGTGTTTATACTTGCGTACTATTGTTTGTACAGATGAACGTGGTACCTTCAGGTGTTTGTAAATTGCTCCCAAGGATGAACCAGACTTGTAGAGGTCTACACATTTTTTTCTGAGGTTTCTTTTGATTTTCCCATGATGTCAAGCAAAGAGGCACTGAGTTTGAAGGTAGGCCTTGAAATACATCCACAGGTACACCCCCAATTGACTCAAATGATGTCAATTAGCCTATCAGAAGCTTCTAAAGCCATGACACCCTTTTCTGGAATTTTCCAAGCTGTATAAAGGCACAGTCAATTTAGTGTATGTAAACTTCTGACCCACTGGAATTGTGATACAGTGAATTATAAGTGAAATAATCTGTCTGTAAATAATTGTTGGAAAAATTACTTATGTCATGCACAAAGTAGATGCCCTAACCAACTTGCCAAAACTATAGTTTGTTAACAAGACATTTGTGGAGTGGTTGAAAAATAAGTTTTAATGACTCCAACCTAAGTGTATGTAAACTTCCGACTTCAACTGTATGTACATTTCAATGTGTGCTTGTGAGTGTTTCTATGTATGACTATTCCTGTATGATGTGCATGAGTTTGTTTGTGTTGTAATTGGCAGTGGATGCTGGTATGTGCATTAAATTGAGGTACTTTATTTCATGATTGGTTGAATATTACATTATTCATAAATAAGTTGATACTCACCGGTTAATTGTAATAACCAACGGTTAATGTAATAACTTTTTACATTCAGTGGAAAAAGTGATTGTGTTTACCGTTCAACATTTTATTAGGTTTACTGGCAAGTTATTACATTTACCGGGTTTGTTAAATAAAAAATAAAAAATGTATTACATTTAGAAAAGTGATTACATTTATCGGTGTTATTACATTTACCGTTGTTACAGACCTCTCCACCTTGCTCTGCTTCACAACACATCCCTCTGGCACAGCATGTTCGTTCACGTCCCTCTTGACCCTCTTGTTTTTAGACCTTTGAAAAGAAGAGTGCAGTTAGTTCAACACATCTCCGTTCACTGGTTAAGTGATAAAGGATTAGTGGATGAAGGGCAATATCAGACTTCCTCAATGTGAAGGAAACTGGAGGGTGAGGAAATACTCCTCTGTCCCTGATCCATCCCATTCAACTACTGCCAACCAACCTTGCTGTGAGACTCTCAGCAGTCAAGTCAATCGTCCCCTGCGCCTTTTGTTTACTGACGTATCTCCCCTTTTCACCTCCCAAACTTGCTTCTCTGTTTGCACACCAGTCTTGTCTCCCTGTATTTTCTTACCTTATGTCTCTTACCATCATCCTTTAGGGGAATATTATTCACTCTTCCGCTCAACCTCACTCCTTACCCTCATACCTCTGGCAGAGGTAGAATACAGTGATCCAATCAGCAAGGGGTAAATGTATGTGTACAAGCCAGACCTCATCAATGAGAGCCTGTTACATTGGTTTTAAGAGCAGCCATAACTGTAGCAGTACCAGACGCAACTCCCCTTTTCTGACTCTCATGAACCTGTTGGTTTCATTCCCTTTCCACATAAAGCTGAATGTTTTACAGTTTACCGTTTCTTGTGTTGAGGCGAGTTTTAGAGTATAGCACTTCAGTTACTCACAGTTACTACTATGCCATGACCGAGCGCACAACCCCCGAAGGATGAAGGATAAAATATCTCATTACCCACTTTTGCTGCTGTAAGGTTTTTATGTTTGGCTTCTTTATTTTTCCCTGCCATTGATCTCATGCTGTTGTTATTTAGTACCAGCCTTGACGTTTCTCCTTATTCGAGGCGAGGGGGGTGGGTGAGGGGTTTGGTGGGTGGGTTAGTGGGCGCAGCACGGCGTGACAGAGCACGGTAAATGTCATTGGTTGAAAAAGGGAAACGCTGTATCATCCAGTCAGCGGCAATCACTCAGCTCTACACACACTTCTTCCCATCCTCTCTTCCTCCCCCGCTCTAGAGGAGTTCCTTTCACTGTCAACCTCAATTACATGCAAACAATCCACACAGACAACATTTCACATTTTAGTAATTTAGCAGACGCTCTAATCCAGAGCAATCAAACCAGCGGCCTTTCAGTTGACACAACGCTCTAAACCACTAGGCTACCTGCTGCCACACGCACGCACGCACGCACACACACACACACACACACACACACACACACACACACAGAGAGAGAGAGAGATCTGGTATGTTAGAACTCCCTTCCTCAGCCAAAGCCCATTTCTATGTCTTTCTCTGTAGTGTCTTCCCATCATCAGCCAGTCCTATGGGAGGCATGACACACAGCCCCTTTCAAACACAACTATCTGGTCCAGCCTTAGGACAGAAACTGTATCAGATTCAACACTGATTCAATGTTCCACTGCAGTTCACAGTTCATCCAGCATAAACACTTCTATCTGCCTCCTCACTTTCCTGACCTTCCCTATTGTTTGGTCGTCTCGCCCTGCTGTGAAGTGATGTGTAGTCAGAAATCATTTTCCCTTGAAAGCATTGTTGGCAAGTCGTGCACACACACACACACACACACACACACACACACAAACACACACACACACACTGTCAGCTGACCTCCCGTGAGAGCTCAATAAAAAGCGCTTTCATCGAGTAGGGAGATGTCCAGAGACGGCTGAGATGGAGCACACTTGCAGATTTCAAATGAGCTTTGCGTCAAATAGACCCTGTCGTTTGTGTGTGTGTGTGTGTGTGTGTGTGTAACGTGTAATCACCTTTCATATTGGCCCATGTTAGTTTGGGCAGAATGTTGTTGAATGTTATTGTTCAAGTCTGACCAGCTGTTGCAAGCAAACACACTCTCTCTCACAGACTCTACCTCAAAAAGTCTTCCCCTTTCTCTGTTTCTCATATTTAGTCTCTGTCACTCGCTCTCTCAAACACACACACACACACACACACACACACACACACACACACACACACACACACACACACACACACACACACACACACACACACACACACACACACACACACACACACACACACACACACACAGTCAGAGCCATAGGTCAGTTGAATGGCTGCTGCTTTTCACAAATGGTGTTTAATTCATTCCCCTGGGTTATCAGACTCCAGTCAGCTCAGTCAGCCCCCACCCCAGGTATGCCTGTCAGAAACCATGGGAACCTAGCAAGGCTTTTATGACCTCTGGGTGTGATTCAGAGGGCTGGATACAGACGCAGCCAGGCCAGTCAAGCCCAGAGCTCTCTCTCACACATACACACACACACACACACTCACACACAGTCCAGTCCAGAGTAAATTCATTCATAACATGGCATGACAGAAGGAATTCTCCGCTGACAGCTTTATTGAGTGAGAGAGTTCCGAGTATTTATCGCCCTGATGTCACTTCCTGTCAAATAGAACTGTGGTTTCTGGACAGAGAGAATGTTTTCACACACACACACACACGCACGCACACACACGCACACGCACACATACACTCAACAAAAGCACTTGGAGCTAAAAATGCGCACACACACACTGAAAATGACCCTTCAAGGACGGCACTTAAGCCCTTCATTCATTTGCTAAGAATCGTGGCTGGCCACATACAGTATGTCTGTGAAATGCACTATTGATCCTACAGTATAACTACTGGTGCATGACAAAGAGGTTGTGAGTGTATTGTGTGTGTGTGTTTGCGCGTGCGTGTGTGTGTGTGCTTGTGCGTGTGTGAAATAACCATTATATATTTGCGGTCCAGCTGTAAAGCTGTCAATTTGCCACTATAGGATAGACTTATGTATGTATTCACACACAATATATTCAATTGCATACCAGCCAGATGTATCCAGATGGCTTTGCTTCCACACTGAGTCATAGTGTAAATGACACAAGGATCTTAAAATGGATCGAATTCATTTATAGCATTCATTTAATTGAAGATAATTTGTGAAATGCCAAAATGTACTAGTACTTGCAATGAACAGATGTTGCTAATGAATTAGATAATGTCTAATTGAAGCGTTCTAATTAGGCCTGGTAATGAAAGCTAATGGTAGTTAAATGAAGTTGCACTTGAACTCACATTGAGAGATGGTATAATACAGAGAGAACATAAGGTACCAGGCAATCAGAATTACAGGATTTTTCCTCATTTGCTTGTCCATATTTAAATCAATTCTAATCCATGCCGTGTGTGTCTGTCCGTCTTTGTCTGTCCGTCTGTGTGTGTGTGTGTGTCTGTTTTTATGTGTTGTCCAGATCATTGATGAAGAGGACACCCAGTTCATGATCAACTGTCCCCCGGCGGTGACAGAGAGTACCCCTCGGAGACGCACCAGGATCCAGGTGTTCTGGACAGCCCCCCCCAGCGCCTCTGGTTGTGTCACCCTCAAGTAGGTACCTGTACTTGGGGCTCTCTGAAGAACCCTAAAGTAAGGATCTATATGGCTGCGTCCCCAATATCCACCCCTCTTCTGAAGTGTGCACTTGTCTTGCACACTCCCCGGTATGGATTCAACAACGGTGGAAACTCCCTCCAGCCAATGCTTACATCAATCCAATGTGCAAGTGCACACTTTGGGAGTAGTGTGGAGAATTGGGATGCAGCCATATGTGGTCACCACCCATGGTACTGGAGAGCTACTGTGCTTAGAGGCTTTTGTTCTAGACCAAAGGCAATATTATCTGATTCAACTAATCAATGTTTTGATGGCTTGGTGATTAGTTTATCCAGGTGTGTTAGTGCTGGGCTGGAACAAAACATTCACAACCTTTAGCTTGTGTAGAGCACCAGAGTTGGTGACCATACTATGACGCAAATCCAATTGAGCTGTGGCAGTGTGTGGTTGATTGTATACTGTGAATAAGGAGCTGTATGTGGACCCTACCCCTCAGGCATGATTAGAGACAGTATGGTTCTCACATGTTCCCTATTACTGTACATGTAAAGTTATTACTGTAGTCCACTCCATCAAAACACCCCTCCTCCCAAACCCAGCCTAAAGGTTTCACACAGAATATAGTATCAATGTTTCATCCAGAATTTATGTTGCATAATTAATTCATAATTACAAGATTAGCTGCAATGGCTTGTGGTGAAGGTAATTGATTCCTTTGCCGTGTCGTGTGCCTCCAGGGCTTGTTTAGGTACAGTATGTGTTAGTTACCTGTACCAAACATAGATCACAGTACACTCCCATGCATTGAGGTGGGATCTTGTTTGAGAGAGAGAGAGAGAGAGAGAGAGAGAGAGAGAGAGAGAGAGAGAGAGAGAGAGAGAGAGAGAGAGAGAAGGAGGAGAGTGGGTCACAGATGTCAATTCAGCATCTATTCCACATTCAATTCATTGAATTTGACGTTGATTCAACCAGTGTGTGCCCAGTGGGGGGAGAAGAGAGAGAGCTACAAAGAAGAGAGAGAGGAACAGAAACATAGGGGTTGTGCCCTACATGGCATGCTAATGTCTGCATTATTAAAGTTCAGTTGGCCTGTCACTTTCTCTCCTGCCCCGTTTAAATCTCTCCCTGTGCCGTCGTTATGTGTGTAGGGGCGTAAAAAAGGCTTGCATTTCTTATTAATGTGCGTTATTATGTGCTTGTCGAAGTGAGTGATGAGATTTCCTTGCCTCCGTCTCTGTCTCTGAACTCCCCCTTTCTTTGGCTTTCTTTCTCCCTCTCAACTCTCTCACTCAGTCTTCTCTCTCCTGTTGGTTTCTCTCTCTACTACACACCCTTTTCATTCCTTCCCCTTTCTCTCTCCTTTTCCTCTTCACTCTTTCTGCCTTTCTCAACCAGGGCGTAGGTGTGTTGTTCCCACAGCAGACTAACCAGGCAGGCAGGCATCTTCTAATACTTTACCTCTCAGCTATCTTATATCTATTGAGAGAACGGAGGTGAGACAGAGAGCGGGGGACAGAGGCAGAGAAAGAGAATGAAGGAGAGAGATAATACAAGAGGAAAAGTGATCAGTATAGAACAGATGAATGGACAGAATTTGAAAGATAGTGGCTGCATGTGAGATGAGGAGAGAGCGAGATATGGTTACTTGTGGAGGTTGTGGAGTGGGGATGTGATACCAAGGTACGTCCAGTGGGGAAGGTTGTTTTTCACTGTAGAGTGATGACACCAGGCGAGGAGAGGTTTATAGTTGAAAGGGAAATGTCTTTGCAAACTCAGAAGTTTAATTACTGGGTGATCACTCTTATTAAAGTTTTGTCAGTGAAGTGGGGCGGGTGCACCCCCAAACGTCATACTGCCAGATTATTATTCAGAAGCTGTTGTATATCGCTAGCTAGAGCCCAAGCAGCAACAGCCTCTGTTCCCTCTCTTCCTAAACAAATGCAAACACATGTTAGTCATATACACACACACACACAACACACACATTCCTGCACATATGCATGCACGCATGGACGCACACACACAGGCACACAGGAGCACACACACACACAGACACAGACACAGACACAGACACACGCACGCAGGCAGCATTGAATCTGAAATGGTTGAATATAGTGTGGCGTTTACGGGTTTCCCGAACTTTTTCCGTGACTTTACTAGCTTAAATAACAAATGGACGGGGAGGGAAATACGGTTAATGCCACCAGGCGTTTTAATGTTACACTACATGGGGTAATGGAGAACTGCATAAAACAATCAACCTTGCCTGAACTAGCTAGCCATAAATAACAGTACAGCAGGAGGTATCTCCCCACTAGTTATATCCCCACAAACCCATGAGCGGCTCCCACCTTTTCTATTACCATGACAACCCCATAAACAATGAACGTGACTGGTGCTGCCAGCCTGGTGCTGCCAGCCCACCCTACCCCCTGAGGGTCGCTACAATAGTATTTGTTTCATCAGAGAGTGGGGGATTTCATTATTAATACAAGCAGAGGAATGTTTGTTTTTCATTTCAACGCTCTCAGCCTGCTTGTCTGCCTACTTGTCAAATAACCTGGTTAGCTCCGACAGCAACACCTCTGGCTATAACTATTATGGAAATACAGACTGTGCATGTGTCTGGTGCCTGTGTGTGTGTCTGTTTGTGTTTACGTGTACGTGTGCATGTGCGTTTGTGTGAGTGTGTGAGTGTGTGTTATGCAACATATGTAGATGTGTACTGTATGTGTATTACCGTGTATATTGTCATCATTGCCCAGTGTGCCTGTGTGGAACGTGATCAGTTGAGGGCAACATCAGAGTTTTTGAGAGCTCCTCTAGTGCTTTGGGTAGAAAGGCAGTGGTGTGACGGCCTCTCTTCCCTGATGGTTAGCTGTAATTGAGGAGTAGCTGCTGTCTCCTGGTGGCTGGAAACAGTGAGTGTGGTGGTTTGGTCTGGCTCACCATGATTATGGGGGTCAAAAAGGGATGGACGTTTGTCTGATTTCTGGACCACACTCTCTGTAGAATCTTTATATTTTTGTTCATTTATACAGAAAAAGTCTTTTTTTTCAGGCTCAAACACACACACACACACGTGCACGCACACACACATAAATGCATGCACACGGACACAAACGTGTGCGCACACACGCATGCACACACAAACACACACACACACACACCTACCCACCACACACACCGGAGCGCTTTTGAGGCGATAACCATCGGCGGTGTGGAGCCAGGAAAGTGAATCTGGCTTTAATAGCATATCATTGATAGAATTTAAATTGGATGTTAAATAAGCATTACTGTGCCTGATTGTCTGGCCGGCCCCAGAAGGTGGGCAGCCAGTAAGGCAGTGTGTGAGCGGCTCGCTCAGGGAGAGATATCTGAAATTGGGGTGAGATTGAATTAAAGTGTGAACAATTAGAGATATGCTGGCGGTGCGTTTAGGAGCGCCTGGGGTGGGGTACCCCTGTTACCTCTGTACCTCTAGGTACACCCCTTAGACAGGGTTCTTCCTGTCCAGCTACTATCCCTTCCAAACCCATTCCTCGTTTTCGGATGGGATCTGTTGTGTTTATGCTTTGTGAAATAGAAGATTTGGGACAAAAGCTTTTCATTTTCTTCTCTTCTTTTTTATCTCTCTCTGCTCCCTCTCTCTCCTCTCTCTTTTCTCTCTTTCTCTGTCTCTGTCTCGCTGTGTGCCTTGGTGAGTAAAAGTAGCAAAAAAAACAAAAGCGAGAGAGGGTGAGAAAAATATAGATGGAGAGAGAGTTGTGTTATGTTAATAGGGGCATATAGCTGTCACTCCCTGTCACTGTAGAGATACTGTCCCTTCTCTGTCCGGCCTGCCTGACAAAGCCTGTAAAAAAGCCTCCTCTGCCACTGGTCCAGCCCTTAGATCATCAAACATAATCCCCCTGACAGCCTGCTCTGGAGACGGGCTGGAGAAAGACAGGAGCGTGGTAGGAGGTTTGCTTGGAGAATAGGTTGAAATCAAATCAGAATTGAGAGATAATGTAGTGTTCCAAAGCAGTGTCCTTCAAGGATAAGCAGGACCATAACAAATGAATGATTTGTCTTCTTTGTGTCTCTCTTTCTTCGTGCCATTTCTCCTCCTCACTACCACTGCTTCCTGAGATGAGCATATACTACACCTCTCTGTCTTTATTTCATTTTTAACCCCTTTTTCTCCACAATTGGTAGTTACAGTCTTGTCCCATCGCTGCAACTCCCCTACGGACTCGGGAAAGGCGAAGGTCGAGAGAAACACGACCCTGCCAAGCCGCACTGCTTCTTGACACACTGCTCGCTTAACCCGGAAGCCAGCCGCACCAATGTGTCGGAGGAAACACTGTCCAGCTGGTGACCGAAGTCAGCTTGCAGGCGCACAGCCCGCCACAAGGAGTCGCTAGAGCGTGATGGGATGAGAAAATCCCGGCCAGCCAAACCCTCCCCTAACCCGGACAATGCTGGGCCAATTGTGCACCGCCTCATGGGTCTCCCGGTCCCGGCAGGCTGTGACACAGCCTGGGATCGAACCCGGGTCTGTAGTGATGCCTCAAGCACTGCGATGCAGTGCCTTAGACCGCCGCGCCACTCGGGAGGCCCAACCTCTCTGTCTTATACCTGTCCTCTTCTACATCTACATCTCCTCTCTCTCTTCTCCCTCCCTCCCTCTCTCTCTCTCTCTCTCTTTATTTTTGTGACTGTGGGAGAGGACAATGACAGCAGTGGGCTCGGCCCAGCTCGGACTCCTGCTCCATAAATAGTCCAGCTGGACAGGAACCACCTGGACCAGAACCAGACAGTCCAGAGCCTAGAACCTAGCACCCTGCTGCTACCCTCTGCCCACTATCACCATGGAAACCTGCAGCCTGTTGTGGGTAGCCAGGTCTGTTGTAATGCATGGCACCTGAACGGAGTTTGTTAGTGACAGCTTTTGGGCCCTGAAAGTAATTTGTTTGCGATCGTTTCTGGCCCTCACGCCGGCCCACTTCTGGCCCTTGAATGGGTTTGTTTGTGTCTGATTTGCATGTCAAGGCCCCACTAAGACCTGTGTCCCCCCAGAACTCAGTGGCTCTGCCCTCAGACAGCTCTATCAGAACAGTCTCTCTGCCAGGACCAGGAGCAGGACTTTAGCTCGGAAACTTCACTGTTGGCCTGTCACTCAGTCTTATCTCTGACACACTGTGGTTCCTCTCGCCTGAGTGTGTGTGTGTGTGTGTGTGTGTGTGTGTGTGTGTGTGTGTGTGTGTTTGTGTGCTCTCTCACTCTTGATCGTTTCTCAAAAGGGAGGCTTACTTTCTGTCTTTTTTCACTCCTTTTTCTCTTTCTCTCTAGGTTTTCAATCTCTTTTCCGATCTTTATGTTAATAAGTACTTTCTGTAAGAGCTAGCAAATCCCTCCGGTCTGAGAGTGCTTGTGATTCAGCTCCCCTGTGTGCTCTAGTAGCTGATCTCAGACCTGTCTGGAGGTATAGGAACATGTTGATGAATAACACAGCACCTGCTCTAGTAGCTGATCTCAGACCTGTCTGGAAGCACAGGAACATGTTGATGAATAACACAGCATCTGCTCTAGTAGCTGATCTCAAACCTGTCTGGAAGCACAGGAACATGTTGATGAATAACACAGCACCTGCTCTAGTAGCTGATCTCAGACCTGTCTGGAAGCACAGGAACATGTTGATGAATAACACAGCACCTGCTCTAGTAGCTGATCTCAGACCTGTCTGGAATCACGTTAACATATTGATGAATAACACAGCACCTGCTCTAGTAGCTGACCTCAGACATGTCCTCCCAAGGTTTTATTAATTCAGACACTCAACATTCATCCTGAGTTCACCATTACTCCCAATGCTCCCTGGTGACTCCCTGTGCTAAAAGTACTGTATGAGTGTTTAACTCTATTCTCTTTTTCTCATCTCCTGCTTCTTTCCTCCCTTATTCCACCTGATCTCCACTTTATCCTCATCTTTTCATCTCCTTTCTCTTACCCTGAAACTCCCTCTTCTCCTCTCACCTCATCCCCTCATCCTCCCCTCCTCCCCCCTTCCTCCTCCCCCCTCCTTCTTTCTCTGCAGGGCCAGCATTGTCCAGAAGAGGATCATCTACTTCCAGGATGAAGGCTCTCTCACCAAGAGGATGTGTGAAAAAGGTATGTCCTCCATTACTGATACGCAATAAAAAGGGCGCTACATATCTTCCACTCCTCTCTCTCCCTTACTATATCTCAATATCTCCTGTCTTACTCTCTCTTCCCTTACTAGGTCTGGATCTTTACGCTTGTGCTGTATCTCCCAAGCTGTGCCTGACATTGGATAGCGAACTTACGGAGACTGATCAAAAGAACAGCTTTACACCTCCCTCCCGCCATCCCTCCCACCCTCCCTCACCCCTACCCCTCCCTCACTCACCTCTCCCCCTACCATCCCCCTCCCTCCCTTCCTCTATCTCTTCACCACATCATCATATAAATAACCAGGCAAAATCAGGAGCCTATATCCATCCTCTCCTCTCCATCTGAGCCAACCACACAGTTGTGGAAGAAATTGGACATCTAAGGCAACTGCACTTCTCATATTTCTCAACTCAGTGACCTTCTCATAGCGACTCTGTAGCATGTATTTATTTTCAAAAGACAGCTCAATATGAAAGCCCAATATATCTTGTTTCCCCTCATTCTGTTGCTTCAAACCACAGTAAATAAGCCCATCTCCTCTCCTCTCCTGTGTCCCCTACCTATAACAACCCTATACCTCTCTCTGCTGTCAAACTCTCTCTCCTCCATCAACCTCTATCTCTCTCTCTCTCTCTCTCACTCTCTCTTCTCTCCCTTCTCAGAGTCGTTGTATGGGGAGACCACAGAGAGGCCTCTGCTGGATTGCTGTGCCTGTGGAACGGCCAAGTACAGAGTCACCTTCTACGGCAACTGGTCAGAGAAGGTGCACCCCAAAGACTACCCTCGTAAGTACCCCATAACAACTTCCAAATTACCCAGGTACATACCCCATTTAATCCCTGAAAGACTACTTTAGTAGTGTCCAATTCACCCCAGGGCTTCCCTAGTTGGTGCCTCCATTGCCTCAAAAATACCCCTTTACAAAAAAAGTTGCCCTACTGTTCAAGTACCCAGCATCACAGTCTACTGAGGATACTACAACCTCCATGGCCACCCCAGGATACCCTCTCCCCAGGGTGGTGTGCCCCTGTCTCATTCCTCCCCCAGCTTGGCCCTGGGCCTTGGTCTGTGGTGCTGCACTGTATAACCTTGAGCCTGACTCCCCGGCAGGCAGGGTGTGAATGGAGATGGGGATTACTGGTCTCTGCCCTCCTTCTAAGACGCTCCTCTCTCTCTCGCTCTCTCTCTCTCTCTCTCTCTCTCTCTCTCTCTCTCTCTCCCTTCTCCATCTCTCTCTCCCTCTCTCTCCTCCTCTCTCTCTCTCTCTCTCTCTCTCTCTCTCTCTCTCTCTCTCTCTCTCTCTCTCTCTCTCACAGCCTAGATCAATATACTGATTAGAATGGAATCCCACAGTAAGATAAACCTGCAGATCGAGCGACACCCTAATTTATTGGCTTAGGAGAGACAGGAGTGTCTGTGTGTGTGTGTGTGGGGGGGGGGGGCACAAAGCCCCACACACTCACAGGGAGATAGGGTTAGCCAGCGCTGCATGCATGAACAGCGTTTCCACTCGGTTTTGTGGTTTTTAGAATTGACTTCTCCTCACCACCACAAAGTCATAGCCAAGGTAACCATCCCTGGTTGACATACATACAGCAGATCACCATCTACAACTGCCTCCCCAAGCATCATTAGTATCTGGTAATTGTTCGTTAATTGCGCCTGTGTTTTTTCTATAACAACTGTTAATCAAACACAGATAGAACCATTGCTAAAAGAGGTTTTAGCAACGGCTTTCACACTGCTATCCACGGTCATGATGGTCTGTGATTCTGCTTCTTCATTGCTAGCGGCAGGAGTGAGAGAGAGAAGAGAGAGGGAGAGAGAGAGAGAGATACAGCACAATGTCAGGCTGCTATTTTTACAAGGCGTCCATTGAGGCACACGTGAAGGGGCGATGACATACATTCTAATGTTGAAGGTTACTCTAAAACAGGCTAACAGGTTTTTTATTCTCCTCGCTCCCTCCATGGTCACATGCACAGCTTTATTTCCCTCTATGTGTGACTATAGTAAGTAATACACCACTGAGAAGCTATTCAACCATTATCTGTGTACTGCTTACCTGAACCTATTCAGACAAACTTAGGAAAGAGACAGGTAGAGAGAGCCCAGTCAAGATAGCCGTGACTGGTATTCAGGTGGCTAAGTGTACCAGAGAATTGTCCTGTGGTTTGGATGGATCTGATGTACATCCAGGGATTCACAGCTCAAGTGTCATTTCATGTCTACTGTGGATATGGATTCTCAATAGCATTTCTATCAGACTCACACAAAGCTGAAATATAAGCAATATGAGCAATCACATTGCTGTTAGGATAGGACACAGACTAGACCAGAATTTCAGCAATACTGTTATTAGACTGAGAGAAAGAGAAAGAGATGGAAGGACAGAGAATGAGATGGAAGGAGTTTGCAGAGAATATGAAAATAGGCTGTGGAACATAAGAGTATATGACTGAGATAGGATACAGTTCTGATGAAAATAGGCTGTGGAACATCAGAGTATATGACTGAGATTGGATACAGTTCTGACGAAAATAGGCTGTGGAACATCAGAGTATATGACTGAGATTGGATACAGTTCTGATGAAAATAGGCTGTGGAACATCAGAGTATATGACTGAGATTGGATACAGTTCTGACGAAAATAGGCTGTGGAACATCAGAGTATGTGACTGAGATTGGATACAGTTCTGACGAAAATAGGCTGTGGAACATCAGAGTATATGACTGAGATTGGATACAGTTCTGACAAAAATAGGCTGTGGAACATCAGAGTATATGACTGAGATTGGATACAGTTCTGACGGATATAGAGGGATTAACTTTAGTGAGTTAGACCCCTTCCCCTATTTGTGTGTGTGTGTGTGTGTGTGTGTGTGTGTGTGTGTGTGTGTGTGTGTGTGTGTGTGTGTGTGTACACCCCATCATGCCAGAGGAGTGTTATAAACTGCAAAAGGAAATGAGACAGGAGGGATTTGAGTGGTTAGATAGAGAGCCTCCCTTTGCTGAACAAAGACTTTCTGATAATCTATGTGAGTTGGATTTTAGTTTATTTTGTAGCAATAAAGAATACAATTATCCACTCTGAGGTCTTTGACCTTGGGAAGTGAAGAGAGGACAATACATTGCATCAGCAGGCAAAGTTTGACTTTATAGTTGGAAACTCAGTATGCTATTTCAAGTTTCAAGTTTCAAGTTTTTAATGTCACCTGAACAGTGAATTGCCTTTCTTGCAAGCTCTAAACTTAACAATGTAGTAATCAATAACAATGTAATACTACAAATAACAAGGTACAACAAAAACACACGAGAAATATAAATAAGAAGAACAGGAGAAAGTAAGTCAGCATACTATATACAGGAAAAGTCAGTTCCACTACCATATTTACAATGTGCAGGGATACTGGAGTGTTGGAGGTAGATATGTATAGGGGTAAGGTGACTGGGTATCAGGATATATGATAAACAGAGTAGCAGCAGTGTATATTATGATTGTATGTGAGTGGGTGTGCGTGTGTGTAGAGTCAGGATAAATGTATGTGCATATTATGTGTGTGTGAGCAAATTATAAAGTGAGTGTTTGTGTGTGTGTTGGAGTGTCAGTGCGCGTGAGTGTGTAGGGAGGGCGCTGTGAGTGTGCATAGAGACAGTGGAAAAATAAAATAAAACACAAGGGTCAACTCAGATAGTCAGTGTAGCTATTTAGTTAGCTATTTAGCTAGCTATTTAGCAGTCTTATGGCTTGGGGATAGAAGCTGTTCAGGAGCCTGTTGGTGTCAGACTTGATGCACCGGTACCGCTTGCCGTACGGAAGCAGAGAGAACAGTTTATGGCTTGACTGACAGGAGTCTTTAACCATTTCCAGGCCTTCCTTTCACACTGCCTGATATAGAGGTCCTGGATGGCAGGGAGCTCGGCCCCGATGATGTACTGGGCTGTCCGCATCACCATCAGTAGTGCCATGCGCTCGCGGGCGGTGCTATTGCCATACCTAGCAGTGATGGAGCCAGTCAAGATGCTCTCAATGGTACAGCTGTATAACTTTTTGAGGAGTTGAGGGCCCATGCCAAACATTTTCAACCTCCTGAGGTGTGTGTGGACCATTTTAAGTCCTTAGTGATTTGGACACTGAGGCATTTGAAGCTGGGTCTAGGGTGTCTGGGATGATGGAGTCGATTTGTGCCATAACCAGTCTCTCAAAGCACGTCATGATTACAGATGTTAGTGCTGCAGGGTGGTAGTCATTGTGGCATGAAGCCTTAGAGTTCTTGGGAACAGGAATGATGGTATCCCAGACATGTCTGAGGTCAGCTACTAGAGCAGCCTGCCAGCTGTTCTTCGCATACTCTTAGAACGCGCCATAGAATACCATCAGGCCCCGCGGCCTTGTGGGTGTTGAGCTGATTAAAGACCTTACTAACGTCGGCCTAAGAGAGCGATGGTGGCGGCACTCACAGCCGGCACAATGTTGTTATTGACAAAACGTGCATAAAATGCATGGAGTTCGTCTGGTAGAGAGGCATCATTGGGCAGATCACGGCTGGGTCTTCCTTTGTAATCCGCACTGGACTGTAGCCCCTGCCAAATGCGTTGAGAGTCGGAGCCTGTGTAATATGATTCCACTATATTCCTATATTGTCCTTTTGCTCGTTTGATTACTCTGTGGAGGTCATAGCAGGATTTCTTATATTTTTTCCGGTCCTCAGCTGTAGCCTCAGGGTTTTCTGCAATATCCCTGTCTGCGGTAGCCCTGTCCTCTAGTTTAGCACCAACCTTGGTGTTAATCCAGGGCTTTTGATTGGGGAAGCAGCGAACCTTCACTGTGGGGACAACGTCGCAGATGCATTTCCTAATGAAGCTGGTGACGGAGGTGGTTAGCTTGTTGATTTTATCGGCGAAGTCTCGAAACACATTCCAATCAGCGCTAGCAAAGCAGTCCTGTAGCATAGTATCTGATTCTGGTGACCATTTCTCAATGGAGCGAGTCATGGGTACTTCCTGTTTGAGCTTCTGCTTGTAAACAGGAAGCAGGTGTATGGAGTCATGATCTGATTTGCTGAATGGCGGACGAGACAGGGCCTTGTATGCTTGCTTGTGGGTAGAACAGTGGTCTAGGACTTTATCGCCCCCTAGTGGCGAAGGAGACTCGTTGATGGAAGTTGGGGATTGCGTGTCTTAATGACGCAGAATTAAAATCGCCGGTAACCAGAAAAGCAGGCTCCGGATATAAGTTTTCCTGCTTGTTTATAGCCTTGTACACATCATTATTGTTTCTCACTGAACATTGCAATAGACTGTATGGGCCAATTGCAATCATTGAAAGCCACCAGATTATTGCCATTTTATCTCTCGTTAAACCATCAATACACGCTAAAGTCACCCGCACAACTGATCTCAATTGCAACCAACATTGGCCAGTGATTTACTGCTCCCTAACGTCGATGTCAAGGTTATCTTTTAGTCTTGATTGCAGCCAACATTTTTCAAGACTATTTCGCCCACTGGTTGGTATTATCATCAGAACAACTTAGTCCTAGTTTATGAGCAGACTAACGGCAATTTATCTATTTGACAATAATTCTGTACAACTGAAATAAAGTATTTCCTCGTTTACCACTGCAAATCTACTGTCTACTGTTTAACTGACATGTTGTATGAATAGAAAACCTACGTTGATGGTCTACCCTAATATTCTTATACTCAAATAAGTATTTATTTTTACATTCATTAGCCTTACAGTTTTCCGATGCTACTGATAGGTCGATATTTCATTGGGGGCAGGAGTAGAGAATCTAGACTGGTATCATAATCACTTGACACGGTAACGGGAGATCAACTGATCTGATGGTTTATCCTTGTGGGTTTTCATTGCAATGAAGCTTAGTTTAGCCCACAGGTGCATTTAATCTCCCGTTAGTAGTGGTAACCTGTAGGAGCGTGTTAAGATCTACCTGTTCATTTCAATCGAGCCTAAAGGTCTACAGAGATTTACTGAGAGTTAGGTACTGAGCCACTGATGTAAAAAAAATCTGTAATATAATAATATAATTACTGTGTTACGATCTGTCACGTAGAGTACTTCCATATGAATCATTATCTGTAATTTTCAAAGTGAATAAGAAACAGAACATTTCGTAACCTTAAATTCATCTTAATTACACTTTTTCACTTTTTTACACATACAATTAACTTTTACTTATATACAGTTGAAGTCGGAAGTTTACATACACTTAGGTTGGAGTCATTAAAACTTGTTTTTTCAACCACCTGTGGATGTATTTCAAGGCCTACCTTCAATCTCAGTGCCTTGTTGCTTGACATCATGGGAAAATCAAAAGAAATCAGCCAAGACCTCAGAATTTATGTTGTAGACCTCCACAAGTCTGGTTCATCCTTGGGAGAAATTTCCAAACGCCTGAAGGTACCACGTTCATCTGTACAAACAATAGTACGCAAGTATAAACACCATGGGCCATGCAGCCGCCATACCGCTCAGGAAGGAGACATGTTCTGTCTCCTAGAGATGAACATACAAATCAATCCCAGAACAACAGCAAAGGACCTTGTGAAGATGCTGGAGGAAACAGGTACAAAAGTATCTATATCCACAGTAAAATTAGTCCTATATCGACATCGACATACCTGAAATACCGCTCAGCAAGGAAGAAGCCACTGCTCCAAAACCGCCATAAAAAAGCCAGACTACGGTTTGCAACTGCACATGGGGACAAAGATCGTACTTTTTTGAGAAATGTCCTCTGGTCTGATGAAACAAAAATAGAACTGTTTGGCCATAATAACCATCGTTATGTTTGGAGGAAAAAGGGGGAAGATTGCAAGCCGAAGAACACCATCCCAACCGTGAAGCACGGGGGTGGCAGCATCATGCTGTGGGGGTGCTTTGCTGCAGGAGGGACTGGTGCACTTCACAAAATAGATGGCATCATGAGGAAGGAAAATTATGTGGATATATTGAAGCAACATCTCAAGACATCAGTCAGGAAGTTAAAGCTTGGTCGCAAATGGGTCTTCCAAATGGACAATGACCCCAAGCATACTTCCAAAGTTGTGGCAAAATGGGTTAAGGACAACAAAGTCAAGGTATTGGAGTGGCCATCACAAAGCCCTAACCTCAATCCTATAGAAAATGTGTGGGCAGAACTGAAAAAGCATGTGTGAGCAAGGAGGCCTACAAACCTGACTCAGTTACACCAGCTCTGTCAGGAGGAATGGGCCTAAATTCACCCAACTTATTGTGGGAAGCTTGTAGAAGGCTACCCGAAATGTTTGACCCAAGTTAAACAATTTAAAGGCAATGCTACCAAATACTAATTGAGTGTATATAAACTTCTGACCCACTGGGAATGTGATGAACGAAATAAAAGCTGAAATAAATAATTCTCTCTACTATTATACTGACATTTCACATTCTTAAAATAAAATGGCTAAGGTGTATGTAAACGTCCGACTTCAACTGTATATATTATGCCTTGCGGAATGGGAATAAGTGCAAACCTTTTACTGGAACAAATGTTTGGCCAACCTGCCTCCTGGATAGTAAGAGATTATGATAATTATGTTGTTGTTTTGTTTCTTAATCTCACCAGGGCGTGCTAACCACTGGTCGGCCATCATCGGAGCGTCCCACTCTAAGAACTATGTGCTGTGGGAGTATGGTGGCTACGCCAGCGAGGGCATCAAGAAGGTGGCCGAGCTGGGATCACCTGTCTCCATGGAGGAAGAGATCAGGCAGAAGGTAAGACTTGGCATGGCCTTATGTACATACACCTGCTATTGATATTGCAGCACGTTTGAGAGTCCAGCGATTGACAAGCCAACACCTTATCCGTTACACCAAGAGATCTGCATCCCTTGCTGATGTTGCAGGGTGTTGGGTTAAGGCCCCTACATTTGTCACTTTTTATCTGACCAAGATGATCGGATCACTCTCCAATTATGCTTCACTGCGTCTTCACATGGAGTCCTGACGAGCATTGTATTCTGAGTGGGGATGCAATGTTGTTCAAATGTGGTTGAGAGCTTGAGAATCCATTATAAACATGTTGGTAGTGCTATTGCTACTGCAGTGGAGGATCTATTAGTCTTTTAGGGATGGCAAGGATGGCAAGCCCATAAAAATAATTTTAACCATCCAAGTCATTGTTCAACTTGCCATGGTTTGAGGGGCTTTTCCCATTCTAGTAATTATATCTATATGGGCCAGCCAGTGGCTCTACTCTCTGGATAATCCAGGTGGCTGTGATATCACTACAGTAAGTAATGGCGTTTACATATCTCAGTAGGCATTCTGATTGATCCTTGAGCTACAGAGTACTGTAATTAAATACATACAGTAAGTCTCTCAACCTGCCCCTTTATGTGGTTTTATACTTCACAGCTGTGAAATGCATGGTGGACACTGTTGCGTTATCTACGTCCTTTGGATATTCACAGTAGATAGTGTCTGCTTGGTATTTACAGTATAAAGCCATGGAATTGGAACATGGAATGTTTTCCAAAGTGTGGTGAAGCATTCAATACTTTTTGCATAATGATTTCCACAGGCGATTACCTAAATGAGAGACAAACATCTGTACTCTAAGTATCAATGCAAATTTTGTTTAATGGTCAGCTTAATGGTCTGTGTCCCTTGCAAAAGATGATGACCTCAAATCCTAGGAAATTCACATTCATGCAAGGTTAATAGATACATTCATGTTGGTAGGTATGAGAGCTCTGGCGCCTCTCTTGTTCAATAAATATTAAATATGAAAATATTGTTTAGCAGTTTTACCTCTAGTAAAAATCTTCCTCTGTTTCAGTTTCACACCATATTTCAATGTCTCTCCCACTCCCTCTGTTTCTAGTCCTTTTCCCACTCTCTTCTCCAAACCTTTCCCCTCTCTCTCCTTCTCCTCTTTTGTACAATCTCTCTCTCTCTCTCTCTCTCTCTCTCTCTCTCTCTCTCTCTCTCTCCTCTCTCTCTCTCTCTCTCTCTCTCTCTCTCTCTCTCTCTCTCTCTCTCTCTCTCTCTTCTTTTCTTCCTGTACAAAATCTCTCTCTGTCTCTCTGTCTCTCTCTCGCTGTCTCTCTCTCTCTGTCATTCTTTAAATAGCCTGTGCTAGTTTGTAGCAGATGGGCCCATAGTGTATTTATTATTGTAGGGTAATATTGAAGACCTGGAGTCACAGCACATAATGAGAGCACACTGTGAGAGCTGGGCTCTGTGCGTCATCACCGCCACCTATCCACAAGGCTGTATTATCCTCAATACTGTCTGCTATAGTATCTGTATCAGTCCTCCTGGACCTTATCCAAACGATTAGAGCAAATAGAGGATTTATGGAGAGACGGACGCAAAGCAAGGTTGGTGTCAACCCTACAGTGCAGAGTAGTTACAGTACTGTTGAGTGACAAGATAATTTATGACATAAAAATGGTTGATAGTTCTATTCACCCACTTGTGTTAGCTATTACAGTAGGCTTACATTGCTATTCTAGGTAGCTCTCTGTAGCATATTCTCCCAGTGGGGGGTGGTAAACGATCCAATCCCCCCCACCCACTGAACAGACCTAAATTTAAACCAGGTAGAAAGCAACAGGATCAAACCATTACCTTCTCCCGAAGGAGGTGTGAAAATCTTACATGGAATATTGCACATTACTCTACATGGCATAGGAGAGAGCAATGCGATTTATGTAGCCTGTGGTGTTCAGTTGAGATCGCTGGGAAAAGTAAACATGATTGGCTGTCACCAGATCCCATGGTGACCCACTGAGAGACAGAATAACAACAAAAAAATCCAGAAAAATGCATGTCAAAAATGTTATAAATTGATTTGCATTTTAATGAGGGAAATAAGTATTTGACCCCTCTGCAAAACATGACTTAGTACTTGGTGACAAAACCCTTGTTGGCAATCACAGAGGTCAGACGTTTCTTGTAGTTGGCCACCAGGTTTGCACACATCTCAGGAGGGATGTTGTTCCACTCCTCTTTGCAGATCTTCTCCAAGTCATTAAGGTTTTGAGGCTGACGTTTGGCAACTCTAACCTTCAGCTCCCTCCACAGATTTTCTATGGGATTAAGGTCTGGAGACTGGCTAGGCCACTCCAGGACCTTAATGTGCTTCTTCTTGAGCCACTCCTTTGTTGCCTTGGCCGTGTGTTTTGGGTCATTGTCATGATGGAATACCCATCCACGACCCATTTTCAATGCCCTGGCTGAGGGAAGGAGGTTCTCACCCAAGATTTGGCCCCGTCCATCGTCCCTTTGATGCGGTGAAGTTGTCATGTCCCCTTAGCAGAAAAACACCCCCAAAGCATAATGTTTCCACCTCCATGTTTGACGGTGGGGATGGTGTTCTTGGGGTCATAGGCAGCATTCCTCCTCCTCCAAACACGGCGAGTTGAGTTGACGCCAAAGAGCTCGATTTTGGTCTCATCTGACCACAACACTTTCACCCAGTTCTCCTCTGAATCATTCAGATGTTCATTGGCAAACTTCAGACGGCCCTGTATGTGTGCTTTCTTGAGCAGGGGGATCTTGCGGGCGCTGCAGGATTTCAGTCCTTCACGGCGTAGTGTGTTACCAATTGTTTTCTTGGTGACTATGGTCCCAGCTGCCTTGAGATCATTGACAAGATCCTCCCGTGTTATTCTGGGCTGATTCCTCACCGTTCTCATGATCATTGCAACTCCACGAGGTGAGATCTTGCATGGAGCCCCAGGCCGAGGGAGATTAACAGTTATTTTGTGTTTCTTCCATTTGCGAATAATCGCACCAACTGTTGTCACCTTCTCACCAAGCTGCTTGGCGATGGTCTTGTAGCCCATTCCAGCCTTGTGTAGGTCTACAATCTTGTCCCTGACATCCTTTTTGAGCTCTTTGGTCTTGGCCATGGTGGAGAGTTTGGAATCTGATTGATTGATTGCTTCTGTGGACAGGTGTCTTTTATACAGGTAACAAACTGTGATTGGGAGCACTCCCTTTAAGAGTGTGCTCCTAATCCCAGCTCGTTACCAGTATAAAAGACACCTGGGAGCCAGAAATCTTTCTGATTGAGAGGGGGTCAAATACTTATTTATAACATTTTTGACATTAGTTTTTCTGGATTTTTTTGTTGTTATTCTGTCTCTCACTGTTCAAATAAACCTACCATTAAAATTATAGACGGATCATTTCTTTGTCAGTGGGCAAACGTACAAAATCAGCAGGGGATCAAATACTTTTTTCCCTCACTGTATGTTTAAAGCAGACCACCATAGTCCTTGTGCCCGAGAATGCCAAGGTAACCTGTCTAAATGACTATCGCCCTGTAGCACTCACATCTGTAGCCATGAAATGCTTTGAAAGGCTGGTCATGGCTCACATCAACACCATCATCCAAGACACCCTGGACCCACTATAGATTGCACTCCACACTGACCTTTCCCACCTGGACAAAAGGAACACCTACGTGAGAATGCTGTTCATTGACTACAGCGCAGCATTCAACACCATAGTGCCCTCCAAGCTCATCACTAAGCTAAGGACCCTGGGACTGAACACCTCCCTCTACAACTCGATCCTGGACTTCCTGACGGGCCGCCCCCAGGTGGTGAGGGTAGGCAACAACACATCCACCATGCTGACCCTCAACACTGGAGCCCCGCAGGGTGCGTGCTTAGTCCCCTCCTGTACTCCCTGTTCACCCACAACTGTGTGGCCGTGCACGACTCCAACAACATAATTAAGAACTGATCACCGACGACGATGATAGTGTGATGCCAGGACAACAACCTCTCCCTCAACGTCAGCAAGACAAAGGAGCTGATCGTGGACTACAGGAAACATGCCCTCATTCACATCGACGGGGCTGTAGTGGAGCGGGTCGAGAGCTTCATGTTCCTCGTGACCACATCTCTAAAGACCTACGATGGTCCAAACACACCAACACAGTCGTGAAGAGGGTACGACAACACCTCTTCCCCCTCAGGAGGCTGAAAAGATTTTACATGGGCCCTCAGATCCTCAAAATGTTATACAGATACACCATTGAGAGCATCATGACTGGTTGCATCACTACTTGGTATGGCAACTGCTTAGCATACGATTGCAAGGCGCTACAGAGGGTAGTGCGTACGGCCCAGTACATCACTGGGGCCGAGCTCCCTGCCATCCAGGACCTCTATACGAGGTGGTGTCAGAGGAAAGGCCTAAAAATTGTCAAAGCTCTGCCCCAGTGACTCCAAGTCATAGACTGTTCTCTCTGCTCCCACATGGCAAGTGGTACCGGAGCGCCAAGTCTGGGACCAAAAGGCTCCTGAACAGCCATAATACTGCTGAACAGTTAATCAAATGGCTACCTGGACTATTTACACTGACTCTCTTGCACTGGCTCTATGCACACACTCACACATACTACACTGACACTCCAACACACACATATACACACACACTACATACGCTCACACACTCACAGGCATATGGACACCACACACACACACTACATTCACTCACACACACAAAACACATATACACATGCATATTGACGACACACACACACACACACACTCACACATAGACAAATGTTCACATTCTTTCACGCTCTTCACATACACTGCTGCTACTGTGTTAATTATCTATCCTGATTGCCTAGTCACTTTTACCCCTAAATTACCAAAATTACCACAACTACCTCGTACTCCTGCACATTGACTTGTATATAGCAACATTATGGTTATTTTATTGTCTTACTACACTGAACAAAACGCAACATGCAACAATTTCAATGATTTTACTGAGTTACAGTTCAT